GCGTCCTCTTGCTCCTAGTAAGGCCAGGAGCCCCTAGTAGCTTCCTTGCTCCAGGTATGGACCGAGATCGCAATGGCTTTCTGACTCGACAGGAGCTGGACTGTGAGGTGAGGCTTTGAGCCATGCGAAGTGGAATGAGTTCAAAAGGAAAGAAAAGACGCTTCTAGAAGCGATGGCCTCCAACCTAAGAGCGATGGCCTCCGAAGTGGAATCAGCCCAGGAAAGCAAAGGTCTAAAGTCTAAAGCTAGAAAAAACGTCGAAAAAAGTCAAACATAGAAATCCAAGGGAACCAACATGAACCAACTGTTGGTGATGTGGTTTGAATGGCTTTGAACATTGGTTTTCAGTTTTGCGCTAGGAGTACTTTGTTTGTTTGTTTGTTTGTTTGTTTGTTTGTGTGTTGTGTTGTATCCGTAAGATCTGTTTCCTTGTTTAACTACAAACAACCTCGCATACTGCTGGGGCCTCCTCGTTTGCAGAACGGAGCCCCCTTTGCACAGGTGGCGGGGGAAGGGACTGATTTGTGGGAAACCAAAAGATCCAGTCCAGGATCATGGAGGTTCGCAAAGAGGGTGATACCCAGATCCTGGAGGTGAATCCCTCAATGCCTGAGCAAAGCGGTCAAATCACCATTACCCTTGGTTCCTACTAGCTTCTTGCTCCTAGTCCAACAAGCAATGGCCATGGCATTGCGCGTCTCCCACTGTGAATGTTCCTATGGCGACCTCAAACCTCAAGGCACGTCAATCTGAATGCGTGGGCTACAATGCTACAAAGCAATTGCTTGAAAGCGCCCTCGCGACTTCCAGGTATGGGAAGTCCCGATGAAAGTCTAAACATGGCATTGCAAAGGGCAGGCTTGGCCACTGGGATACGTACCAGCCAGATGCCTTGTAGCAACCGGCAATCCCTGCGATCACTGCACCAAAACACACCGCTTTTTCACCGTCTGGTGGAAGGTCAGCTCCACTCACTCTAGCAAACATTGTTACTGTTACTACTAGTAAGGCACCTGTTACTACTAGCGTGGCACTTGTTTCTACTAGTTTCTTGTTACTACTAGTAAGGCACCTCTCAAAGCACGCAGGGTCAGGGTCACTGTGGGCGGCTTGGAGGGAGCCTGAGGCTTTTGGGCTTGCCTTAGGTCCTTGACAATTCGCAGGAATCCCGTCGGAGGGGGTTCGCTCCTTGTAGAGTCCTTGCTCCGTTCGTAGCGATGCCCTTTGTTCCTCGTAGCGGGATTGCTCCTGCATTCCTCTAGGCTTTCCACAACATCGTCCGCGCAGCAGTTGCACCCCAAAGTGGGCTGAGCACTGGTGGAGCTGCGTACTCCAGGACTGACACGGGTGGAGCCAGTGCACCATGGGTGTTTTCAAAGACCCGTTTATGAGGCCTTTACAAGTGTTTTCAGGGTTTGCATAAGGACCTTACAAGAAGGCCATTGTGTTTTCATAAGGACTGGCCAGCTGTAGGATTGAAGAAGTGTCTTTTTCCTTTGTCTGAGAACTTGCAGGACACAAGTCAATGTGGATGGTGCCATTGAAATGTGTTTGCGGAAAGCTGACACGAACAAGGACGCCTTTCTCCAAAAAAAGTTTTGTACCGGTCTCATGTTCTTAAGTTGTTGCCTTGCCAAGACGAAGTGAACTCTTGGCAGAATCTCTGCATTCCAAAGACTTTCCTTTAGCATCCCAAAGCCAAGGATTCGAAGCTTTCCTTCTCCGAGTTTCGAAGTCTCATGCGATCGCTCCGAGAGCCCCGTTTGGCACGGCACTCTGCGAACCTGGTCTTCGCCCTCTTTGACTTGGATGGGAATCACTTCATCTCACGCAGTGAATTCCAAGAGCTTTATAGATTTCTTCTGGGTCGTACCCCATCCAACAATCAGTTCGAAGAGGAATGGGATCGCTTATTGAGCTTCGTGAAGAGATCCGGCGAGGAAGTGAAGGAGTCCGGTGAAGTGAAGGGAGAAAGAAATATGAGGAACAGAAGACGTTTGAAATGATTGAAATCACGCGTTTCTTTTCCCCAAGGAAGTCAAGGATGTGGAAATCAAGCGTGATCTTTTGCTCTGTATTTGGAAATCACTTCGTCTTTCGTGTTTTTCGTATGCAAAGAGGAGTACGCAGATCAGCGGAGCTACATCCACTGGCTTCAAACCTCGGAGGATCCCAAGATCCGTCAACAGGCGCCCGAGTGTCAACCGCAGAGTGCTGCGCCCAAGGCTCAGGTGCCCTCCGAGCCTTCAGAGATGAGCTTCCGGCCCAGGCGGAAGAAGGAAAGAACAGATTTGAACACATAAAGCATCATAAAATATCATAAAGCATAAACAAACAGAACACATAAGAAAACACATTTCGTTATTTTTTTCATATATGTTGTAAGTGTGGTGTATCATATGCTGTATGGTTTATATAGTTTTTAGATGAACGTGTGCATCTTCTTCTGGACCTTGGCATTCCAGACTCGAGATGACCCAAGTCCTCTTGAAAAGGCCTAGCCAATGTACAGTGCTTGGTATCAACCTAATAGTGATGGCCTCCAACCTAATAGCTTCTTGCTACTACTAGCTTCTTGTTCCTAGTAGTAAGGCACTTGTTACTAGAAGCGATGCACTTGTTCCTACTAGCTTATTGTGTCTAATTCATTCTTGCTACTACTAGCTTCTTGTTCCTAGTAGTAAGGCCA